GAACCAGCCTGTCGGAATGGCCACACCGTTTCGCATTTCAATATTAAAATTTCTGACCAGAGATTTCGACAGTGTGGTTCTCGCTTAAGACTTCTTCCAACACAGAAGTTTCGAGCGATTTCGAAACTTTCGGGTTCGATTTCGAAATGCCGCTACCGCCCAGGACTTCCTTCAAACAGCGATCTCGACTGGATTTCGAAACCATCGGGCTTGAATTCGAAGGGGCGCCTCCGCCCGAGACTTGAGCAAAACAGTGCTTGAACAGAACATTGTACTGGGGTCCCGCGGCCTAACGGGCCCCTTTGACTTCTCCTTTCCTGTCGCGGGCGCAACACCACTGACAGCTTTGTGCCGCTGCCCCGTCGCCTTACGGGAGGCGCTGCATTTTGGCCGAACCTTCGAAGCGGTGAAGAATTGTTCTACGGTATGTCTTGGGCGGGCTGGCGTGATGTCGTGACTCCTGTCACGTTTGATACGTCGTCCATTCGGTCGTTGGTGTGCTGCTGCTGTTCTGGTTGTTGTTGTTTTCTGGTGTTGTTGCTGTTGTTGTGTTGTTGTTGTTGCTGCTCGTGGTGCTGTTGTTGCTGTTGTTGTTGGTGGTGGTGTTGTGGTTATCGTTGTTGGTGTTGGAATAGGACGGAAACAGGACAGGAGCAGGACAGGAGCAGGACGGGAATAGGGCAGGCGCAGGAGGAAGTGCTGGAGGAGAAGGAGGAGGAGGGGGAGGACAGGAGGAGGATATCAGGAGGAGGAAAAGGAGGAGGAAAAGGAGGAGGAAAAGGAGGAGAAGGTGGATAAGGAGGAGGACCAGAGTAATCCGAGGCGCACGATCGATGTTTCAATACACTGTCCCTCCAAGTTTTTCTTCACTGGTCCCTATAAGAATTTGTTTGTACTGTGGGACGTGCCTCTTCGTTCCTGTGGCCAGCCTGACCTCGGCGCGCACGTCGCGTCTAATAGGACGCCGTTCCTCGGTCGCTGATATTACGAGCACGTTGGATCAGCAGTGCCCGATGATTATCGATTGGGATACATTAGTTGCGGTGTGCTGTGAGCTGTTACTGTCTACCATGGTGTATTACGTTTTGTCCTGCGATGTTGCGTTACGTTCAACTATCCTCTACAAGCTAATATTCAGCCATGCGTTCTTATGTTTGGTGGTGGTGCATTTCTTGCTTTGTTATGAGATGTTCGCGTATGTTCGAAATTACTGTAGCATTCTAAGCACAATAACCTGTCATACGCTGATAGTGCAATTGCGTACCAGTTATACAATGTTCACAAGGTTATTCGCAGTTCTAGGCTATGGCAGTGTGGTGCATATATGTCGTGTCATGCTTGTTCAGTTGTTTGTTATTACTGTCTCCGCTCTGGTGTTGCCAGATAGATATTCTGTTTCAAGGTTCCAAAGATAAGTGCTGCTTGTTTATATTACAGTCGCTTTTTAATTCAAGATGTGTCATCGTGTGTCATGCTGCGGTCCAGTTATTGAAGTATGTTACATATTGTTTTGTTGCATGAGCCGTAGTGGTAAAACTGGGATCACGTAATGATGTATTATGTTATGTCATGCTATGTTATCTTGTAATATGTTTTGCCCCGCTATCTCACCGTATGGTGTCTTCCTATGGTGTGATATTGTATGTGATGTTGTATGAGGCTACGCTATGTTCTGTCATGCCATGCTACGGTATGCGATGACATGTCATGTTATGCTGTGCCATTCTATGACACGTCAACTATATCATTGTGTGTTATCTCATGCCATGGTGCTCCTATGCGCTGAGGTTGTTGTTGTTGGTGTTGGTGTTGTTGTGTTTGGTGTGTTCAATGCCATCGTACGTGCGTTGTCGTAGTGCTAGCAGTCGTAGAGCAAGTATGGTATGAGCTGCTCTGACATTATACTACGTTTGGCTTCGTTATGTCAGAGCATGTATGGCAGTATTATGCTATGTTATGTTATGGCATGGCATGCCATGCCATGTTTTGTTGGGATACACTCTGTTATGTGGTTATATGCAGCGTTATGTAAGTAACTACTCATGCTAAAATGTGGGGTTACGTTATATTGTGCCATGTTATGTTTTGGCGTCGCATACGTGTTATGATATGGGTGCTGGTTTTCGTTGTTTATGTTTGATGCCGATTATTCACGCCTCTGTGCTCATGCGTCGTGACGCCTGGACGGCGTGACGCCGTGACGCCTCCCCCTCGGGGCTGTCTTGTACGCATGGTGCCGTCATTTGTCGAGCACGCGAGGCAGGACACTCAGAGACTCATGGGATCCTGCGAAGTCTGGCGACCGCGGCATGATGCCGCCACTCGTGGAGGACGCGAGGCGGGACACTCAGGGATTCCCAGGATCCTGTGGGGTCTGGCGACCACTGTGTACAGGGTGGGCAGACGGGAGCCCAGACATGCGACGTCCTGATTTTTTCAGGACGGCGTCCCCGGAAGTCCCGACCCTTTCCCCGGGGCCGGTTTGTCATCCTGAGTCGTTTCTTGAAGGTCCTGGGGGCCGGCGAGGGCCCCCAGGGGCCGAAAATAGCGAAAAATTGCCGTCCTGATTTTTTTGTACGACGCGATCATGTTTGGGAGTTTCCTGTTCAAAACCTGACATCCCCAACCTGCTGGGTGGGGAAGAAAGCGCTACGCTGCGCCAGGGGGGGGAATGGGGGGGCGGCAGGGCCAGGGCTGCCACCCAGGACTGGACGGAAATCAAGCGGGCCGAGCTCCTGGACCACAACTGTGGCAAAGAATACGGCCAGGAATTTTTGAATAGCGTCTCGCGACGCCGGTTCTGACCCACCGCGCTTCGGCGCGACACGCTATCCACTTCGAGCCCGCTTCTTTATTGCTTGGGGCATGACGGGCGTCATGGTCCCCGCTCTCCCCTCCCCTCCCCCCCCCCCAGTGCGCTCCGGGCACTGCCGCCGTGCGCATTGGGATACGCGTAGGTGTCGGCGCAGGGATCCGCGTAGGAGTCTGGTCCGCAGTCGTCGTCGTCGTCGTCGTCGTCGTCGTCGTCGTCGTCGTCGTCGTCGTCGGACGACGACGCGGCTGGAGCCTGTTTTTTATTCCGGGCCGATGGCGGCAATCATTTGGGGGGGTGGAGGGGGTCGATGACGTCACGCTTCGCGCCAGCGGCGTCTTGGAATGCCTAGAAATGACAGGGGACGGGTAGCACCAGTATGTAGGTGGCGATCTGCACCGCAACGCCTGGGTACACCACAGTGCCTGCGTGCACCACAGCGCCTGTGTACACCACACCGCCTACTTACACCACAGCAGCCGCGTGCAACACAGCGTCAGTTTGTGCCACCGTGCCTGCGGGCACAACAGCTCTTGTGAACACCACAGCGCCTGCGTACACCACATCAGCCGTGTGCAACACAGCACCAGTGTACGCCACAATGCCTGCGTGCATTGCAATGCCTGTGTACACCACGGCGCCTGTGTGCACCACAGCAACCGTGTGCAACACAGCGCCACTGTTGTACATAGAATGTCAGAAGGAATCCTTATGACAAAATGGAGCGCTTGTGGATCCCACATTAAACAATAGAAAGGAATCCTTATGGACAAAGGAGCGCCGCTGGAATCTACGAGTCTTCCCGAGTCCGCCCGCATTACTGTAACTCGTCCCACCTGCGTTCAGGAGGCTCCAGCTAAATTGGCCGTCCGACCACCCTGTGGACCGATTCAATAGACCATTCTGCGGTGCACGCTGAGATGCGCACGTGCGCTGTGGTGCCAACCCGCACGACAGGGGGTAAGGAGGAGGAGGAGGAGGAGGAGGAAGAAGAGGAGGAGGAGTAGGAGGTGGATGAGGAGGTGAAGGAGGAGGAGGTGGTGAAGGTGGAGGAGGGGGGAGAAGGGAATAACGTCGCATTCGATTTTCAGCAGTTTCCTGGCGGGGCGTTTAGTTGTCCGCAGCAGATCCTCACGTACATGTTCCTTCTACCTGTCCTATGCACGCAGGCATTGTGATGTACACTAGCGCTGCGTTGCACGCGGATGGTGTGGTGTGTCGTACACAGGCGCCGCGGTGCACGCAAGCAGTGTGGTGTACACAGGCGCTGTGTTGCACATGGCTGCTGCGGTGTACACATGTACACCGGCGCTGTAGTGTACGCGAGCATTGTGGTGTACACAAGCGCTGCGTTGCACACGGTTGTTGCGGTGCACGCAGGCGCCAGGAGCTATGGTGTACACGCGCGTTGTTGTGCACGCGAGCGCTGTGGTGTACACAGCATCGCGTCGTCGTCGTCGTCGTCGTGGTGCAGATCGCCACCTACATGCTGCTCGCGTCGTCGTCGTCGTCGTCGTCGCCGTCGTCGTCGTCGCCGCTTGTCGCTCGTTGCGTCGTGCGCGCGGGCGCGGCTGTGCTGCCGGAGCCACACGGCGGGGGGGGGGGCGTTACGTCATACCCTCCCCGCCTCCCGCCCCCTCCCCCCCCACATGACGCCCGTCATCGCCGAACATACAGAAACGCGCTCTTCCCAGTCCCTGGGCGTGAGCGCGGTGACACGATATCCACCCGTAAGTCATAGCGTGCAGCTGGGGCCGCCGCAGCGATACGCTATGCAAACATTCCTGACCGTAAGAAATTAATACCACCATACTCCCGACCTCGTGTTTATTTCACAACGTGGACCCCCAGAGGTCTGGACCCCTTCCATGGGACTGGTTTTTCTTCCTGAGTCGTTTTTGGACGGCCCCGAGGCCCAGTAAGGGTCCCCGGAGGCAGAAAATACAGAAAAACCTCCCGTCGTGATTTTTTCACAGCGCGAAGCCCACGTCCGCCGCCCGCTCCTCGTCCTCCTCCCCCCTCCTCCTCCTCCTCCTCCTCCTCCTCCTCCTCCTCCTCCTCCTCCTCCTCTTCTCTTCCTCCTCCTCCTGCCCGTCCTTCCTCCCCTCAGGGGCCGCCTCCTCCTCCTCCTCCTCCTCCTCCTCCTCCTGGGGTGCGCTCACATCTCTGCTAGACAGCAGCGGCTCCCCCAGGCCGCGGCTCCGGCGCAGACTCTGGCAGCGTGCGCGGCGCGCGGCTGTCGTTGGTGGCTTAGCGTGCGCGGCTGCCTGCGGAACGGCGGTGATCGAGGAAGAAACACACCACACGCGTACATTCGGCGGCGAGCAAAGGGGGGAAGTGAGAAGGAGAAGGCCCTCTCAGAGGTTTCGGGAGTCCCCCGGCCTTCTGAACAGTCTTCTAGGCCTTCCCCGAGGACGGACAAAAACTTTTCATTAGGCGCGAGAGCTTCTGAGAAGTCCAGCCGCCTCCTGAGAAGGCCTTCTTCTTCTCATTTCCCCCCCTCGCTTGCTGTCGATAAATTGTCGGAACTCCGCGCGGATTTCTCGGATTGGCGCTGGGGCCCTCCTGGCGGTGCCTCCGGCGCCGCCCCTGGGGCGCTCCGCGCGCCAGGAAGTGGGGTCCAGCTCGGATCCAAGAAATCCGCGCGGACTTCCAACAGTTTATGTTTATGGTGTTTTTGTCCCCTGAAGGAGGGGGGCCCTGACAGGTAGTGGGGCCAACCATGGCCAAGTCGACCAAATCCTGGCCAACTCGACCAAATCACGCCGGCGGCCCCCCAGACTTGACCAAGTCCTGCCCGCCTTACATAATCGTTTTGTGTTAATGCAGCCCTGGGTTCCAGTAGTGAACCAGTAAGGGTTCAGTGGACTAACGATTTCGACGAAGCCTGGATTGGACTCCGTTTGTTGCGCTGCCGTGCGGACCTCTTTGGAATTTCTTTTACTAGTACTGCAACAACTACAACAACAAAAACTACTCATAGTGAGACTTCTACTGCCACTCTTGCTACTACTACTACTGCTGCTGCTACTACTACGGCTATTGCTTCTTCGGGTATTAATGTTACTACGACTACTACTATTACTATTTTTACTACTACTACTACTACTACTACTACTATTACTACATCTACTTCTACTTCTACTTCTACTACTACTACTTCTGCAAAGACTACTACTACTACTACTACCACCACTACTACTACTACTACTACTACTACTACTACTACTACTGCTACTGCTACTACTACTACTACTACTACTACTACTGCTACTACGACTACTACTACTACTCCTACGAATACTAACTACTACTACTAACTACTACTACTACACTCTACTACTACACTACACTATACTACACTACTACTACGACTACTGACTACTACTAACTACTTACTACTACTACTAACTACGAACTCGACTACTACTACTGACAGACACGACGACGACGACGACGACGACTACTAATACTTGCATCATCATCATTTTTCCGACTATTAACTTAGCACTACTACTACTAACTACTAACTACGCTACGACTACGACCTACTACTACTACTACTACTACTACTACTACTACTACTATTACTACTACTACTATACTATTAGTACTCTTACTACTACAACTACAACTGCTACTACTACTACTGCCACTACTACTACTACTACTACTACTACTACTACTACTACTACTACTACTACGTCTACTACTACTACTACTACTACTATTACTACTACTACTACTACCACTACTACTACTACCACTACCACTGCTACTACTGCTACCACTGCTACGTCTGCTGCTACTACTACTACTACTGCTATTACTCGCACTATTACTACCGCTAACACTACCACTACCACTACCACTACACTAACACTACCATCACCACCACTACTACTACTACTACTACTACTACTTCTTCTTCTTCTTCTCCTACTACTACTACTACCACCACTACTACTACTACTACTACCACTACTACTACCACTACTACTACGACTACTACTACTACTACTACTACTACTACTACTACTACTACTACTATTACTGCTACTACTACTACTACTACTACTACTACCACTACTGCTACTATTACTACTACTACTATCATTATAATTCGTGCTACTGTTACTACTACGACGGCTGATACTGCCATTACGTTTACTAGTCCTACTACTGATGCTACTAGTAATACTACTACTGCCACCACCACTACTACTACTACTACTACTACTACTACTTCTACTACTACTACTGCTACTACTACTACTACTACTACTACTACTACTACTACTACTACTAGTCCTACTACTACTGCTACTACTACTACTGCTGCTCCTACTACTACTACTACTACTACTACTACGACTACTACGACTACTACTTCTACTATTACTAGTCGTACTATGACTACAACTACTACCACAACTATGTTTCCCCACATCCTGAGTGGGGTTCTTGTTTTCCCAGAACATCCTCTCCTCCTCCTCCTCCTCCCGCTTCCTCCACCATCCCATACTGTACCATAGCATACCAAGACCATGCCACTCCATACCATACCTTACCATACCATACCAAACATCCACCATCCCTCACACCATGCTATTTATCAGGTTTCGTGCCCCTCCCACCCCTCCAGGGAGGCCCCGCCTGAGCGAGCAGGGTATTCGCACACCATGTTATTTAAGCAGGTTTCGTGCCCCTCCCAGCCCCCGCCTGAAGCGAAGCAGGTATTCGCACACCTGTTAATTTATCAGGTTTCTTGCCCCTCCCACCCGCTCCATGGAGGCCCCGCCTGAGCGAGCAGGGTATTCGCACACCATGTTATTTATCAGGTTTCGTGCCCCTTCCACCCCACCAGGGAGGCCCCGCCTGAGCGAGCAGGGTATTCGCACACCATGTTATTTATCAGGTTTCGTGCCCCTCCCACCCCTCCAGAGGGGCCCCGCCTGAGCGAGCAGGGTATTTGCACACCATGATACTTATCAGGTTTCGTGCCCATCCCACCCCTCCAGGGGGGGCCCGCCTGAGCGAGCAGGGTAGTCGCACACCATGTTATTTGTCAGGTTTCGTGCCCCTCCCACCTCTCCAGGGAGGCCCCGCCTGAGCGAGCAGGGTATTCGCACACCATGTTATTTATGAGGTTTCGTGCCCATCCCACCCCTCCAGGGAGGCCCCGCCTGAGCGAGCAGGGTATTCGCACACCATGCTATTTATCAGGTTTCCTGCCCCACCCATCCCTCCAGGGAGGCCCCGCCTGAGCGAGCAGGGTATTCGCACACCATGTTGTTTATCAGGTTTCGTGCCCCTCCCACCCCTCCAGGGAGGCCCCACCAGAGCGGGAAGGGTGTTCGCACACCATGTTATTTATCAGGTATCCTGCCCATCCCACCCCTCCAGGGAGGCCCCACCGCTGAGAGAGCAGGGGTATTCGCCACCATGTTATGTATAACTGTTTCGTGCCTCTCCACCCCTCCAGGGAGGCCCGCCTGAGCAAGCAGGTATTTCCAGCACACCAAGGGGGGAGGGGGGGGGGGGGTTGGGGGATGTTATTTTATCGGTGGTCACGTGCCCCTCCGACCCCTCCAGGGAGGCCCCGCCTGAGCGAGCAGGGTATTCGCACACCATGTTATGTATCTGGTTTCGTGCCCCTCCCACCCCTCCAGGGAGGCCCCACCGGAGCGGGCAGGGTATTCGCACACCATATTATTTATCAGGTTTCGCGCCCCTCCCACCCCTCCAGGGAGGCCCCACCAGAGCGGGCAGGGTATCCGCACACCATGTTATTTATCAGGTTTCGCGCCGGTCCCAACATTCCAGGGAGGCCCCGCCAGAGCGGGCAGGGTATTCGCACACCATATGATTTATAAGGTTTCATGCCCCTCCCACCCCTCCAGGGAGGCCCCACCAGAGCGGGCAGGGCATTCGCACACCATTTTATTTATCAGGTTTCGTGCCCCTCCCGCCACTCCAGGGAGGCCCCGCCAGAGCGGGCAGGGTATTCGCACGCCATATCTTATTGTTAGGTTTCGTGCCGTTCCCGCCCCTCCCGGGAGGCCCCACCAGAGCGGGCAGGGTATTCGCACACCATGTTATTTATCAGGTGTCGTGCCCCTCCCACCCCTCCAGGGAGGCCCCACCAGAGCGGGCAGGGTATCCGTACACCATATTATTTATCAGGTTTCGTGCCCCTCCTCCAGGGAGGCCCCACCAGAGCGGGCAGGGCATTCGCACACCATATTATTCATCAGGTTTCGTGCCCCTCCCACCCCTCCAGGGAGGCCCCACCAGAGCGCAGACAAGAAGCAACGGAACCCCGTACCATCTTTATGTGGGGAACTCCGTTAGCATACTTATTACTGCTACTACGACACATATCATTACTATCATGTTTATTACTACTATTACGGTCAGTTGTTTATTGGTGCAAGTTACATGTTTTGGGGCGCTTTACACGAGGGGAAGGAGCGCGCTTTAGTAGTGGCATTGGGCACGGTAACACGCGTGGTAGGTCTAGTAGTTGTACGACTACTTATTAATTTGGTAGCAGCAACAGCAGCAGTAGCAGCAGCAGTAGTAGTAGTGGTAGTTGCCGTAGTCGCCGTAGTAGTCATCGTTTTCCCAGTGATAGCAGAAGTAGTAGCAGTAGTAGTAGTAGTAGTAGTAGTAGTAGTCGTAGTAGTAGTAGTAGTAGTAGTAGTAGCAGCAGTAGCAGTAGTAGTGGGAGGAGAAG